GTGTAGTGACTAGCGGGTTTCGCCGCGGAGGCCTCGCGGAGGACGAAAAAAGGCTACTTAAGGTTTAATGATTGCGATCGGGATGAAGAACGAGGAATTGACACCCACGAGCTTTTTTCATAATATGTTGACTAGGTGTTTTACGCGGTCTGGTCACCTGCGCTGCCTTGGAATTCTCAAGGCGCGCACAACATGGTTCAAGGCCATTTATGCCAAGCGAGCGGTCGAGACTCTTGCTATTTTTGAAGAGCTCCGTGATACGCATTTGAAGAGGCGTAGTTACAGGTTAAATTTACATGGGAGAGTAGTAGGAATGAAGGCAGGTGGTGGTGGCGATCGAAACCTACTTTGCCGGAGATTGGCTCCCCTTTCATTTTTATTTTGACCAATCATGGCCACTTTAATATCAGCAATAGCATGGGTCAAGCGAGGTGTAGCGGCAGAACACCCCCAAAAGTACAATCCGGATGATGAAGAGCTCGCAAGAGTGAGCGAATTGACCCGAGAAGAACTAAAAGACGCAAAACTGGACCTCGAGAATATGGGTAAACTCGCAGAGGAGATGGGAGTAGGAATAGATGAGGAAGATCATGAAGAGGATTGGGAGGAGTACGTTTTTGACTCTTTTCTCTACCCTTCGAACATTTGAAGAGGGTTTGGGATGATGTGGTGGATTACGGTCGTATTGATCATTCCTCTTCTATGGAAATAGTGAAGTATCAAATGATGATAAAGATTCTGATCAAATGGAAGTGGATGAGAAGCCGGTTCGAAAAAAAGATCCAAATGATCTAGCAGAATACAAGCTAGACGAGTACGACGACGACTCGCCTACCAAAGGTCTGTTGTAGCCATTCAAGTATAATATCTACTTAATGATCTCATGTCTCAGGTGGTGGGTTGTTTTCGAATATCAAGGGTCTTACTTACTACAAGGATAACGAAGATGATCCCTATATCACCCTTAAAGAAGTACGTAATATTCAGCCCATTTTGGGTATCGAACTCAATGCCATCTGTGAACAGGACGACGACAGCGAAAAAGAAGAGCTACAAGTCTATTCATCCGACAACCTTTTGGTCGCCGCACGAACAGAAGATGAAGTATCCCAACTAGACATCTACGTCTACGACGAAAACAACGACAACTTGTACATCCATCACGACCTCATCCTCCCCTCCTTACCACTCTGCCTCGAATGGCTCGATTTCCCACCCTCTAGCTCCATCGACTCTCCCTCCAAACCAGGCAACTATATCGCAGTAGGCACATTCGAGCCCGAAATCGAGATATGGTCGCTGGACACCGTCGAAGGTCTCTTTCCCGACGCCCTCCTGGGGCGACCCGACAAGACCAAAGCGCACGTCCCCATTCCACTCGGCACGGGCAAGAAGAAAAAGAAGAAAACAAAAGCGAGAGAAGTGAGTACCGAGTATCACGTCGATGCCGTGCTCTCGCTCTCGTGGAACCGCAGCCACCGAAACCTTCTGGCGAGTGGCTCAGCCGACAAGACGGTCAAGTTGTGGGATTTGTCGAGGGAGCCGACGGCGGGTGCGATTAGGTCGTTTGGGGTGCATAGTGATAAGGTGCAGGCTGTTCAGTGGAATGGGGTGGAGCCTACGGTGTTGTTGACGGGGAGTTATGATAGGAGGTGAGGACGTGTGGAGTGGTTTGAGGGGCCGGTTTGACGGTTGATTGACAGGCGCAAGTATCGATTGAAAGACCGAGCACGTTGTCGAGTGGCCGCTGCCGAGCAAAAAGCTGTACTAAAAAGTGAACAAGTGGGGAGGGGGTATAAAGTAAGTTTGCGTAAAGGTAAACTCCCTCTGATCAGTCGTCAAGCCCTTCAAATGTGACACCCATCCTAGGCGAGAGTGGGTTTCTTCTGCGGTTATGGCCACGCTGCACCCCTTCCATCAGGCACTTCTCAAGCTTCCTCAGCCATCCCAAGCGTTTTTTCCCGAACGTCGTAACTTGTCTCAGTAAAGGCCTGGGAAGGGCTTATCGTGCCTCGACGGCAGGACCGTTGACCCGGTCGAGGGCGGCGGATTGAGTTCGGTGCTATTGGCCAGCCCTCGCCCTGCAAAAGCAGATCTCGGAGAGATAGGTTGTATACCCTTCGAGGTCGTCTACTGTCACAAGAAGTTGCCGTGCATTCTGGGAAACTGATTCGTTGATTAGATCAGAGTCTTTTCATTATGTGATTAACCATGAGGAAGCAAAGAATCCAAATGACGATGCTTGATGGTCCCTATGCCGTGGTCGACTCGGAGTACCACTGTACTGGATACTTTTTCGACATTCTGAGCTCGTTTGCCGAGCGACATTTCATACGGGTACCAGTAGAAGCCGGGCTGGTGTAGTGACTAGCGGGTTTCGCCGCGGAGGCCTCGCGGAGGACGAAAAAAGGCTACTTAAGGTTTAATGATTGCGA